AGCACAGAGCCTTGCTAGCCAATCTGCCAGCATCAGCGGTGTGAAACCGCTCCCCCCAGTCCAGCTACCTCAGAGCAGCTCCGGCACCATCGTCCCGCCCAGCAGTGGCACTTCTCCCAACGTGAGCCTAGTGACTGCGGCAGTTCCTACCCCATCCTCAGAGAAAGTGGCTTCCAGTGCTGGTGCCTCCCATGTCAGCTCCCCGGCAGTCTCAGCGTCATCGTCACCAGCATTCGCAATAAGCAGTCTGTTAAGTCCTGCATCTAACCCACTTCTACCTCAGCCGACCCCAGCTAACGCTGTTTTCCCCAACCCTTTGCCCAACGTTGGAACAACTGCAGAGGATTTAAACTCCCTGTCTGCCTTGGCCCAGCAAAGAAAAAGCAAGCCACCAAATGTCACTGCCTTTGAAGCAAAAAGTACTTCAGATGAGGCATTCTTTAAACACAAGTGCAGGTTCTGCGCGAAGGTCTTCGGGAGTGACAGTGCCTTGCAAATCCACTTGCGCTCCCACACCGGAGAGAGGCCCTTCAAGTGCAACATCTGTGGGAACAGGTTCTCCACGAAGGGCAACCTGAAAGTTCACTTCCAACGCCACAAAGAGAAGTACCCCCACATCCAGATGAACCCCTACCCCGTACCGGAGCACTTGGACAACATCCCCACGAGTACCGGCATCCCCTACGGGATGTCCATCCCCCCAGAGAAGCCGGCCACCAGCTGGCTAGACACCAAGCCAGTCCTGCCCACTCTGACCACTTCCGTTGGCCTGCCATTGCCCCCGACCCTCCCAAGCCTCACGCCCTTCATCAAGACGGAGGAGCCAGCTCCCATCCCTATTAGCCATTCTGCAGCCAGCCCCCAAGGCTCAGTCAAAAGTGACTCTGGGGCCCCTGATTTGGCCACAAGAAACCCAAGTGGGCTCTCAGAGGAAACCGAAGGGTCTGTTGTGCCACCTTTCAGTGGAAAAAGTGAAGAGGCTGGCGTGGCCACCGGCTCAGTCCCAACAGCAGGCAACAGTGCCCTGAGTTCCCCAGTAGCTGATGGTGGCCCAGGAGGGGCTGCCTTCACCAACCCTTTGTTACCACTCATGTCTGAGCAGTTCAAGGCCAAGTTTCCTTTTGGGGGCCTCTTAGATTCAGCCCAGGCCTCAGAGACATCCAAACTGCAGCAACTGGTGGAGAACATCGACAAGAAGGCCACAGACCCCAACGAGTGTATCATCTGCCACCGGGTCCTCAGCTGTCAGAGTGCCCTGAAAATGCACTACCGGACGCACACCGGGGAGAGGCCCTTCAAATGTAAGATCTGTGGCCGGGCCTTCACCACGAAAGGCAACCTGAAGACCCACTACAGTGTCCACCGGGCTATGCCCCCACTCCGAGTGCAGCACTCTTGCCCAATCTGCCAGAAGAAGTTCACCAATGCAGTGGTCCTCCAGCAGCACATTCGGATGCACATGGGGGGTCAGATCCCTAACACCCCTGTTCCTGACAACTACCCCGAGTCCATGGAGTCCGACACGGGCTCCTTTGATGAGAAAAATTTCGATGACTTAGACAACTTCTCGGATGAGAACATGGAAGATTGTCCTGAGGGCAGCATCCCGGACACACCCAAGTCAGCTGATGCCTCCCAAGACAGCCTGTCCTCCTCGCCTCTGCCCCTCGAGATCTCGAGCATCGCTGCTTTGGAGAATCAGATGAAGATGATCAATGCTGGCCTGGCAGAGCAGCTGCAGGCCAGCTTAAAGTCAGTGGAGAACGGGTCGGTGGAAGGGGATGTGCTGACCAACGACTCATCCTCCGTGGGCGGCGACGTGGAGAGCCAGAGTGCCGGCAGCCCGGCTATCTCCGAGTCTACCTCTTCCATGCAGGCTCTGTCCCCATCCAACAGCACCCAAGAATTTCACAAGTCACCCAGTGTGGAGGAGAAACCACAGAGAGTGGGGCCGAGCGAGTTTGCCAATGGTCTGTCTCCCACCCCAGTGAATGGGGGCGCGTTGGACTTGACCTCGAGTCATGCCGAGAAAATCATCAAAGAAGACTCCCTTGGCATCCTCTTCCCTTTCAGAGACCGGGGTAAATTTAAAAACACTGCTTGCGACATTTGTGGCAAAACCTTTGCTTGTCAGAGTGCCTTGGACATTCACTACAGAAGTCATACCAAAGAGAGACCGTTCATTTGCACAGTTTGCAATCGTGGCTTTTCCACAAAGGGTAATTTGAAGCAGCACATGCTGACACATCAGATGCGAGACCTGCCGTCCCAGCTCTTCGAGCCCAGCTCCAGCCTCGGCCCCAATCAGAACTCTGCGGTGATTCCCGCCAACTCACTGTCATCTCTCATCAAAACAGAGGTCAACGGCTTCGTGCACGTTTCTCCTCAGGACAGTAAGGATGCCCCCACTGGTCACGTCCCTTCGGGGCCTCTGTCATCCTCTTCAACATCCCCAGTTCTACTCCCAGCTCTGCCCCGGAGAACTCCCAAACAGCACTATTGTAACACGTGTGGTAAAACCTTCTCCTCCTCGAGTGCCCTGCAGATCCATGAGAGAACTCACACTGGAGAGAAGCCCTTTGCTTGCACTATCTGTGGAAGAGCATTCACAACAAAAGGCAATCTGAAGGTACCTGCTCTGCCTGTGCCCACCACCCTTTCTCATGCCCTTGGCTGCTGCATGCTCCTGGAGCCCTCAGCTGCATAGTCAGGGAGAAGGTTCTGGAAAGGGGACCTGCTACCCGCAATTGATGGGAGGGGGGGGGGTGGGGGGATATGAAGGAGCCTTAATAGGTCAGGATCATGGCAGGGACAAGGGCAGCCTGTAGCTCGCTGCACGTCACCACGCCTTGAGTAATTTGGTACCTAAGCAAAGTAGCAGCCTTTCTCTGCTGTCTCGCTAAGTGCACCAAATGAATTGCTTTACCTACCAAATCAGACAGCCTGGCGTTGCCATGGGGTATTGATTAAAGACCTCCATGTGGCCTGCATACTGCCCATATCACTTAATAATTACGGCTTCCTTTGGCATATGCAGCTATTTTTCATAACTGCAGTCCAGCTTGGCTTGTTTTTCTAGAAGCAGCAACCTCACTCCTCCGCTAATGGGCATTATGATAATTGATTACACGACACTTCCTACTGATATGTGTTGGAAATAAAGCAAATACGCTCCTTCTAGAGCAACAGTCGCACACTCTCGCTGTGTACATTTTTCTGTTGACAGAGTATTTCTCTGGAGGTTGCTGCCAGTAATGTGAAATGAATAATTACTTTCTGGGTTTTCTCTCTCTGTGCGGGCCCTCCAATGGGCAATCAGTGCGGGCTACTTTCTTCCCATCTGAGAAGGACATTTACAGGGTAAAGGGTGTCAGATACAATACTTAGCACCGCAATGAGAGTGGACATAACAATTCTAACCCAGAAAGGCGCGATCTGCGACCGCCTGGCTTGCTTGAGGCCATTACAAGCTAAATACGGGTAATAAAAAAAGAGTAACTAAGGTTTCTTTGCCCAGGAAGGAGCGAGCCAGCCCAGGGCTGCAGAGAGCGAACACATTATTACGAGACCTTGGGAGTGGATGGTTCCTGGTGCCTTTCCCCCTGTCTGTCACATAATAAGAATAGACATTTAAGCCACTTGCTATGTCGAGGTTTGGGATATGAGTTGAGACAGATTCAGCTATTAAGCTTCTGACTCTTTTTTTTTTCTTCCCTTCTCTCATCCCCAACCCACAACCGCAGGTCCACATGGGCACACACATGTGGAACAGTACCCCAGCACGCCGGGGCCGGAGGCTCTCCGTGGATGGCCCCATGACCTTTCTAGGGGGCAATCCTGTCAAGTTCCCAGAAATGTTCCAGAAGGATCTGGCGACGAGGTCAGGAAGCGGGGATCCGTCCAGTTTTTGGAACCAGTACACGGCAGCACTGTCCAATGGGTTGGCCATGAAGGCCAACGAGATCTCTGTGATTCAGAACGGTGGCATCCCTCCAATTCCTGGAAGCCTGGGCAGCGGGAGCAGCTCACCTATCAGCGGGCTGACAGGGAACGTGGAAAAACTGGGGAATTCCGAACCCAGCGCTCCTCTGGCCGGCTTGGAGAAAATGGCGAGCAGCGAGAACGGAACCAACTTCCGCTTCACCCGCTTCGTGGAAGACAGCAAAGAGATAGTCACGAGCTAAAGTTGCCGGAGCATTTCCACTCAGAATGCTGCCCGAGGTTGCCTCCTGCCCCAGCCCCTTCCCTTCTGGCCCCTGGGACTATGAACTACACTATGAAGACATTCTTTTGTACTTTATTCAACCTCTAGAGTTCTAAGAAAGCTTATTTATTAGTGCTATAACCTTGCTTTGCAAACAGAATGCAAGCATTAACTTTGGTCTTCTGTATTTTGGACTAAATACTAATGGACTAGAGTGCTGTAAGCTTGCTGTAACATTTATGGCAATCACAAGTTGCCCTGCTAGGCGGTCTTAATCTGGCATTAACTTATTTTCTATATCCAGTTTAATATGAATCTGGTGTTGATGCAATGCCTCCGTGATGCGTAGATCTCTAATAAAGTCTGTATATAAATGTACACTTTGATCCTGCTGGGAAATTTTATCAGCCACCACATTGTCTGATCTTTCCAAACAGATTGAAGGGAAGGACTTTTAAGTACAGGCTGAGCATTCGAAGGGGTTGGGTTTTTTTGTTTGTCTGTTTGTTGTTTGTTTTTGGTTTTGTTTTCATTTTTATTCTAAACTTCAACCTGCTTTTTTTTGTTGTTATTTTATAGAGTTAACCATTTCCGTTTTGAACTGCTATTCGTATTGTGCTTTTTACTTGAGTTGTCTTCAATGTTAATAAGTTTCTGTACAGTAATAAGCACGCAGAATTCTTTAGAGAAAAAAAAACACAAGTGTTGTTTTGGTAGTTGAAACTGAGACGTAGCTTTTTTTGCCTTGTAGGGTATATTCACAGTAGAAAAACGTGTGCTGGAATTTCACAATGCTGCTAACGATAGCATCTTGAACAACATTCAGTGGAGAAATGTCGATGCTCTTGTATATACAATAAGAAATATCACTTTCATTCAAATGTACATATGTTCCTTACAAGAGCAAATGCTTCTCGACCGAGAGCAAGTATAGTGTTGGTTTATTTTGTATTAGGTATGGAAGGAGAAAAAAAATGGACTGTTACATGCACTTTCTTGGAAAGTTGGAGGGGGGGGGATTCTGATTTCTTTAACATTTAATACTTACTAACAGCAGAGATACTGTAATTTTGCTCAAGTAATCAAATACATCCTTTTTTTTGCAACAGATAAAACAACATGCCGTGTCTGTGTTTTTAGAGTGCATTTCCATTTAGCCAGGCCCCTAAAGGTAGTTTAACATTTCCCCAGGTAGCTGTAAATTGTGTGTGTAAGCGAGTATCTCCTCTAAATAAGACATAGTAAAAGGCATAACAGAAACGGGCATGCATGGGCCTGCATTTTGTTTTGGTTTAGGTGGGCCCCCCCCCCCCCGGGGGGGGGGGTTTTTTGTTTGCTTGCTTGCTTGTTTGCTTGGCTGCTTGCTTGCTTTTGAGATCTGGAAATCTACCTATTTCTTCAATATCCATTTCTTGTTTGGAAATGTGTATTAGTTTCCACTTTTCTCCCATTCCACCTCGCAAGAGAGGGGGGAAATTTTAAGCTGTGGTTGGAGACCTCATCCTGACAGGTAAGTTCCCTCCAACGTGATCTGTGGACTTAGATTTCAGCTTTAACTATTCTAGTTCCGTTTCACTTGATTCTGTGGCCTGTTTTTTTTCAGGCAACTCAGAGCCACATTGCTGGAGAATTCCCCATGCAGCAGGGTTATATAACCTGACTCAGAAACTGGGCCTCAACCCAGGAGGTCAACATTTTTTTTTTATTTAATTAGTCTTTTAGGCATTTAAAAGCACATGCATATTTAAAAGAGAGAAAGTCTATTATTCGGATCTGTGAGAGCAACTTGAAACATTTTATCACCCAAGTTCACCTGAGTCTTCTTTCTTTCTCTCTTTTGTTCTGGGGGCATGCTTTACTTCTGAGCACAATTTTAGGGGAAGCAGTCGAAAGGGTGGAAGTTGTCTGCACGGGGGGGGGGGGCCAGTGAACTCCTTTGTCTCAGGGAGGAGATGAATCTCACTAAACCTGACTGTGCCCAGGTGAGGACTCCCAACAGAAGTTCCCTTATTTGTCCCTAGACTCCAAAGCCCAGAAAACCACGAGGGTGCTTAAAGCGCCAACTCAGCTTCAGCGTCCAACCGGCAGTTAGGGAAAGCCCCTGTTCTTGGATCTGACGTCTCGGGACGGGGCTCCCAAACCAAAGGGAGTGGGCAGAGTAGGGGTACTGTGCGGACACCTTGGCTCCCATTCATCCCCGGGATCTTGCTGCCCTGCCTGCGACTTTTTTTTTCTACAGGAGTGGTCACCGAATGAAGAGGTCAGATGCCCGGTCGCCGATAGGCGACGGTCTCGCTGGTCTCGCATGCAAAAAAGGGGCCGGCCCCGCGCTCCTGGCCCCAGCAGGAAGCCTGGGGACGTCGGGGCGATCCCCGGGCTGTGGCCACCGTGAGGGGCCAGGCAGTGACAGCGCCTCTGCCACCCTCCCCGGCCACCGCGCGGCAACTATGCCCGCGCTCCCACGTTGCTGCAGGCCCGCCCGGTCCCCAAGTTTCGCTTGCGGTGCTCTTCCCAGAGGGCTGCATGGCAGTTTCCGCGAGGGGGCAGGGGCGGGCGCTTTTCTCCTAGCCCTCGAACCTCCCTTCTAGCGTTTTCTGCAAGCAAGTTAAGACAAACTAAAGTAGCTTTGGGTTCAGCCAGATTTTCGAAGGCCTCCTAGGCCTTCGCCCCTGCGCCCCTCCTCCCGCCTTTTGTTCGGACCTATCTATATCGATTGATTATCATTCTAATGTATCGATCACTATCTGCCCCATTTCCCTCTACGTCCATTCCAAACCCAGAAAATGCAGAGCCCAGGGATAAACACATGCTTGGCCTTTGATATTCATCCAGCAACTGGGTGGGTTCCCGGCAGAAGATGGGAGCGTGCCTTACCCATCTCCAAGTCTGCCACTAAGCTTTCTTTTACCTTTTGGAACTTGAGAGACAACCCGGTTGTTTGGAACCAGGTTGGCTGAACTAAGAAAGGTCGCTGCAGACTGGAAAGACACTTAAGTTCATAAAATTTTAAAACTAAAAATACTCACTTTGGTGACATTTTTAAAAATGTGGTTGGTGAAGATACCCAAAAATTCAGCGGTGCCAACGGCCCAAAATTTACCAACTTTAAGGACTTGTTTCTGCTTCTTAACCCCTTGTGTCAGGGTCTTGCCCTGCTATTCCTTTTTGATTCCCTCCACCCCTTCCCCCTGCCTTGCTTCCTCTCCTCCCCCAATAAGGGCCTCCCTTCCTGGAAAACACCCTTGGAAAAACAGTTGATGATTGACAGCGACTTGGGGAGAAAAAGAAGTTACCACCCTTGCTGGTGGAAGCTACCTAAAGATCCTCAAGTGTGTGTGTGTGTGTGTGTGTGTGGAGGGGTGGGGGTGGGGGGGGTCCAGCGAGGAGGAGAGCGCAGGGATATGGAAGGAAGGACCTTACAGATTTACCGAAGCAGGCTTTGGCTTTTCACATCCCGGCTTCCCAATTCAGATTTATAATCGGCTGTTAGGGCATGGGGAGGCAACAGCGTTTTTAAGTTATATATTTGCTTTCTAAAAGTGTTCAAACAGAAAGTCTGAAATGATTTGCAGTTAACATGGACTTCTAGCAGTAGGTTATTTGCTTATTGCTTTTGGCGTGTTGAGAATGTCAAGAAAGAGAAGTATAAAAGGAAAAAAGGAAAAGGGCTCCCACTCCATTAGAACTTCGCAGTTCTGTTAGAAAAACAAAGCCATGCGTTCTTCGCTGGGAGTTACACACTCCACCCCAAATGAAACAAATGACAGAGGGGGTACCGAAGCGGGGAGAAAAAAAACATAAAGTGTATTTCAAAGGGTCCCTCGGAAAAGGCAACAATCTGAGATGCACAAAAAAAGGTGGAAAAGGATAAGACAGGAATTAGGTCATCTGGTCCAGACCCCAGGAAATATGTTTAGATCAAAGACTGTACTGTTAGAATAAACAAAACAGGACCCACTGAGCCCTCCCAATATTTTCATCTCAGCCCTAAGAGCCGCCAATCTCACCAGCTCTATTTGATGAAAGAGGTAAAAATCCCAACTGTAAAAATGACTAAGTAGAAAAATCTCCTCTCCACTGTAATAGGAAGATAAAGGCTTAGATTTGCACTAAAGAGAAACAACATGCAGGCCCAGATCAACACAAACTTCCTGGAATGTTAGCACCAAGTAAATTATCTCCTCCTAACCCATTGTCCCTTGCTTTGCTGCCCCCCATCCTGTGCAGTCGAGAATGCCAGATAATTTACATTTTAAAATATTGTTAAATTTTAACAGCCGGCTAAAACTGCAGGCCGTATTTGGGGCTCACTTATTTTACATTTCTTAAGGATCCACCTCTGTTTTGTTTCCCCAAGGAGCCCCCTGTCCCGGTGACTTGCCCCCTAAGTGGCTGTTGGTTGTGGGTGTGCTTTTAAGCTTAGTCCCAGAGTTTCCTCTGTTTCCACTGAAAGATGAGATTGACAGAGGCTGAGAGTGTTTGTCTATAAACCTAGCTTTAGATCCACACGATTCAGCAGTGGTTGATAGTTTAACAACTAAGCCCAAGTCTGAGTAAAGCGTTCTTTTTCACTGCCGAGCCGATGGCCTTTAAACCAACTGCCAAGGAACATGGGTAGATAGAAACATCCAGAAAAGGGACAGGAAATCCCAGAGAAGAAAAATGAACCCGGGCTAAATCCAGGGCCCTAGATCCTTACTGAGTCTGGTTTCCTCTCAACTGTTTAAACATATGATTTGGCTTCCCTGGGTTTCTGCAGCCCTCTGAGCTTAAGTTTTAACAAAGACGCGTAGAAGACGCGTCGTTGTCTTGGCTGGGCCCTCTGTGACTCAGGACACTGGGGTAGTGAACGTGAGGATCTTATAGACACCCCAGGAACAGGCACTCCTCTGTGTAGGGCTCTACACTTTCCACAAAGAGGGCAACCCCAGGATCAGGCTTTTACCTAGTTTTTTTTGTGGAGGACTTTGTAGATGCACAGATCACAAACTTAGAAGCTCCACATAAGTCTGTCTTTGTAGGAGGCAGAGGGGACCTCCCAGCTTCAGGAAGCACAGCTAAATCCTCACACAGAAGTCTGTCAGGGCATGATGAGACTGGAGACACAGATCATAATCATGGCTCCCTTTGGTAGGAGGCCTAGATGGCCCCTGTGAACTAACTGCAGCCACTTAATTCCCGATGTTCACAACAGGAGAAGGAAGGCTGACCTGATGGGCCTGTGGTGTTACTTCTGCACGTCTGCACTTCTAAGTGCCGCATCTTGTATCTGAGTCACCAAAGTCCATTTGACAGATGATAAAACTGAGGTCCAAAAGGCAGCGACTTGGGGGCTGAAGAGATGGCTCAGCGGTTCAGCGCCCTGGCTGCTCTCCTGACAACTCACAGCTCTCTGCACCTCCAGTTCTAGGGGATCCGACAACCTCACACAGCCATGTGGACAAACAAGCAAACAAATCAAAAACCAGTGAGTAGAACAACGGAACTAGAGCTGTCCCTAGCTTGAAAGCCTGCCTGGGCATTCTTGGGTGTTGGTCTGAACAATAGTTTGGTTTCTCCCTCTCTGTTCCATACAAGGTGAGACAGCCATCATCAACCCATCGCTTCCTCTGGATTCCTGCCACTGTCATGGTCTCCTGTTACTGAAACATCTCCAGTTACTAATTCAGTGCTTTAGGTGCCCCTTTTAAAGCTTTAGTGGATCCACTCCCTAAGGAATGGGAAGCACAAGCTTCAGTTTCCCCCACCAATCTTGTGATCCTGCACAGGAGAAACTGGTGGACAGCTGACGTTTTCAAGCCGGTGACACGCCCCAAATAAAATAACCCGAGCACACCCTGCTGTGCCAGTCGGCTGCATTTTCCCCTACACCACTGCCACTTGCTGTAGACGCGAATCAAAAAGGTTTTCTTGGGCCTCATCCCTACTTCCTTACTAGGCACCCCACACATTTGAAATGACAAGGATTTCTCAACCCCGATTGTGATGCAGGATGTGGTGACGTCAAAGCCACAGCGTTTTGCTTGGATGGGACACTATCTCCTGAAGCTTTGGTCTCAACTGTGTCCGTGTGCACACATGTGTGCCCTACATCACATCTGTTAGTATGGTCGTTAGC